AGAATAGGAACATAAATTAAGAGATGTTGATGAAAAAATAACTCGAGGAACAAAAATATTACAACTAATCGAGGCATCAAATACATGTAAGGTAAGAGATATCGACGTGGATTGATGATGCAACAGTGGCGGCGACGACAATAGCATGAACCGAAGACGACGTGGAGCGACAACGGGATGATGGTTCGGTGTCGACGAAGACAGGGGGTGGTGATGGTGCGTCCATATCAACGTTAGTGGGAGTAGGAGTGGGTTTCAGATATGGTCATATCACGTTTCTTAGGTTGGATATTAGAGGAAAACTTAACATATTGAACACAATTGAAGTTAAGTAAAACTATTTGGTAAAAATTTAGGAGATATTTATGTAATATTTCTAATAGATTAGATTTTTTAATGGCATATTAAATCATTATACCACTAATAACTTTGAATATAAGTGACATAAAATATTAAGTTCCCTTAAACACATTGATTTTTTTTAATGGCATATAAAATGTGCCACTAAAAATGTGGTATAGTGACACATCAAAAATATGTCATTAAAAATGTGTGCCACTATATGTCATTTTATTTGTAGTGACACCACATGTATATGTCCATTTCTCTACAAAAACAGGTACATAGCCAAGACTAAAGGCTTAATTGACAACACATATATACAGCTTCATTAGTTGTTGTCATTCATTTCAAGTAATCAAGCTTCATGTAGCAAGCAATTTAGGGATAAGTTTTGGTCGTTCAAACTTAAACATAGTCAATGTACATGTCTAAAAGTAACATTAATTAATGTTGGATATATGTAAAGTACCTTTATGTTGTATGGATTGCCTGGGAGCAGCTTCAACAACAACGACCTTATCTCTTGGATTGAAAGGTGTCTATGAAATGTGAGGGTTATTTATATGCGCGTTTCAACATACCTACTGAGAACAAAAACAATTGATGTCAAGGGTGAAAGAGGTTTGATTGGGTCCAGAGGGAAGAGAATCCAACATTTACCGTATTGGATTCCATGAAAGATGAGTAGACATGAATCGATCATGGACGTCTGCTGAGTTGTGTACAACGACAAATTTGTTTTCTAAGCTGTGAAATATTGGGTGGGGTGTAAGATTTAGGTTGGAATCTCAACCTTGAAAGTGTAAAACGGAGACAGGGGAGGTATCATCTCTAGAGTGGAAATAGGAGAACAAAGAAAAGAAGAGGCGGAAATATTTCGTAGAATCAGGGTTTTTTTTTTTTTTTTTTTTTTTTTTTTATACCTTTTCTAATTTGATAAAATAAGTCAAGAGGGTAAGACCATGAGTAATACTCTCGTAATACTCCTCCCCAACAAGGGTTGTGAGGAGCTTCTAGATTAGCCACCACAAGCCACGAACCAACTTAATTCAATTGTGAAAAGTTTGAGCCGAGGAAGTCGGAAGAGACCAAAATTCAATTGTGAAAAGTTATTTTCTTCAAGATCGAGTACTTGCAAGTTGGGTAAGTCCCAAATATCAGCACATATGATGTCTCCATCTTCCAAACTGCACAGACTGAGATCCAGCTTTCTCAAGCATCCACTAAAAAAACATACCCCTAAACAGGGTGCAACGTTCATGTTTTGAGGTAGAATATTTCATCCTGAGAGTGTAAGAGTCTTGAGTTTCTTTGACCTTTTAATGGGTGGAACCATATCAAGAGTGGAACAACTTTCTATTGCTACATAAATAAGCTTTTCCAAATGTCCAAATGATGGATGAATCTCCTTTAAAGACAGAGCTTCATAAACCATGAATATTTTAAGGTTCGGAAGCCTCTCAAAATCTGGTGTCTTCATCAGGTTCTGCAGGTTCGTCAGTTTGATCATTCTCAAGGGTTTTCCCTACAACCCGTAGGTAATATGTAGTTATTCCGTAGTTCATTTCACTTTGCTTTTCATCCATGGCTTGTTGCATGTTTGACACTTGTTGTTGCAACTCATTTACCTAAATATAGCAAGACAAACACATGCACTTAGTAAATGTAATTCAACTTTAAACCATGATAACAATGTACTTTACTTTTAATTCAATATAAAAACACACTGATCATAATAACAATGTACATTGTTTTTAATATCCATAATAATAACTTTTAATATGCATAATAATAACATACTATATTTTTATCCATTATACCATTGTACTTTACATTTCCAATCCATAATATCAATGTACTTAAATTATTATCAATAACAACAATTTAGTTTATCAAATATCAATAATAACAACATAGTATCATTTTCAACCATAATAACAATGCACTTTACCTAATATTAATAATGACAACATATTATAACCACCACGACTTAATTATATATTTCTTTAATTTTTTGTTCTTATATTTCTTCATTTATTTATATATGTAAGAACAGATTGAGATCAAGGAATTGGTTTGAGTAATAAGGCTGTTAAAAAAATCAGCATTTATATCTGGAGATGGACAGATGTATGTGACCTGCTCACAATTGTCTAGCAAAGCAATCCGTTTGATATTGTTTAAAAGCATACTTCAACACTTCAAATTTACAATATAAAGTATATACTAATACACATCTATTAGAAAGGGCTAGAGCATCAAGGGTAAAGTCATCCAAATAGGCAAAATTTCAAAGTTAATTTACAAGAGCGACACATTTTCAAAGCCAAACAACCAAAACTAAGGCAAACATTACCAAATCCAGAAAAGAAAAACACATGTTCAAAGCAAAACATCAAGGGTAAAATCATCCAAATAGGCAAAATTTCAACGATTGCATTTGGGTAAAATTCCAAATCCAGAAAAAGTAACACCGGATGGGAAAGAATGACATCTAGATAAGCTAAGTAGCAAATTGAGAACATGAAAATTTCCATCCCAAATAGGTAAATACTTCCATTACAGATATTGATGAGTTCTAAATCAAGAAGAAGAGAAATATGGACAGGGTTACAGAATTCAGAAGAGGAAAGAGTATCTAATTTGGAGCTTAACTTGAGCTCTGCAAATGGACAAGTTACAGGTATTGCTGCAAATGGACAAGTTACAGGTATTGCTGCAGACTGATGATTCAAGTTCTCTGGGTCTAAATATGTGAAATCTACTACAATGGACAAGTTACAAGTATGGAAAGCATAACTGACAAAGACAATTGAAATCACAGAAACTGAAATTGATTCTCCAGGGGCAAAATTTGTGAAATGTGAGCAAATTGAAAAATCGGAGTCTTGTAAAAGTGTGAGCAAACTAAAATCGAAATACATACCTGCAGGTCTCGACGATGGGAGTGTGGGGCAGCGACGGTGGTGGTTTGGGACAGTGCCGGTGGTGGAGTGCGACAGCGACGGCTGGAGGGCAAACCTGCAACTATTTTGTCAATGTGGGTCGCCAATCGGTTGTCTGGAAATCGCAAAAGTGAAATTGGTTACCTGAAATTGTCGACGATGTAGGTATTGGTCGGGAATCGTCACCGGGAGTGTTGCAACAAGGTCGGAAATCGCCGGTGTTAGGCGTAGTGTTTTGTTTGAGCAAGTAATGGATGACTCCACGATTAACGATTAGAGTAGCGGGAAATTGTATTTTGGGAAGCGTAAGAATTGCGTAGGTAAAAGGATGCGTAGGATTTGTGTAGGCATCTCTAATTATTTAGCTAATTTGCAAATACTTGATAATAACAAAAAGAAATCGGTGTCTAATTTATGCGTAACAAGTTAATATAACAAATATTAATTCCTTGAATGAGTAATTGAATATAATCTGGTCAATACAATATTTAAATTTATTAAACTTTAAAAATCATTTTGAGTTCTCCCAAAATAAAAGTTGAATTTTCTTTTAAAATGAATTTTACTCTACTTTACAAACATATAAGTTGGTGAAAATAAAGCAATCAAAATATAATAATATTGTGAAAAAAAATTAAACGGAAAAAACAATAATAGCTTTTATTTATATTATATATATAAAAAATAAGAATAAAGTTGTAAATAATTAATGAGTTTTAACGATGCATACATTTGTATATATGTTTATGTTATATATAAGTTGGTGAGAACAAAGCATTCAAAGTATAACGATTTTGTGAAAAAAAAAAAACTAAATAAATTATATTTTCCCTTAAAAAATAGAAAAAAAAAAACTGTTGGTAATCCGTAGGTAAATACCTACAGATTACCTACGGATAAAGGCTATCCATAGGTATTTACTTACGGAGTACCAATGATTTTTTTGTATTTTCTATTTTTCAATAGTCAAATGTCATTTTTTTCATTTTATTTTTTTCACAACATAATTATACTTTGATTGTTTTTTTTACAAAGTTATACATCATATAAACGTATTTACACTAATGTGCATCATTAGAACCCATTATTATATATGATACAAAAACTATTTATGTTTGTTCTTAACCGTAATTAACCTCATTAAATAAATCCGTGATATACTCAACATAATACATGCATATGGTTTGTATCTAAATATGTGTACTTATTTGTATTTGTGTATAGAAAATAACTTTTATTTATATTATATATATAAGAAAAGAATAATAAAGTTGTAAATGAGTAATGGGTTCTAGCGATTCATACATTTGTATATATGTTTATGTTATATATAAGTTGGTGAGAAAAAAGTATTCAAAGTAAAATGATGTTGTGAAAAAAAAATAAAACCAAAAAAATTATATTTTCCCTTAAAAAATAGAAAAAAAAAACTATTGGTAATCCGTAAGTAAAATACCTACGGATAAAGGCTATCCGTAGGTATTTACGTACGGAGTACCAACGATTTTTTTTGTATTTTCTATTTTTCAATGGTCAAATGTTGTTTTTTTTTCGTTTTATTTTTTTCACAACATAATTATACTTTGATTGCTTTTTTTTCCAAAGTTATACATCATATAAACGTATTTACACTAATGTGCGTCATTAGAACTCATTACTATATATGATACAAAAAACTATTTATGTTTGTTCTTGTACTGTAATTAACCTCAT